AGAATTGTGCGAGCTTCGGTGCTTCCCTCAAGCAAACCTGATTTATAAAGACCGTACGAATTGCGCGTAATTACGTATGAAAATACTTATTCCGGCTGTAATTTAGCGTTATTTGTCAACTACAGGACGAGATTGTTACGCGAGAGACGGTGTTATACCGATTCCGCGCACCCAGCACGAATTGCGAATCCCTTCTGCAAAATATCCTCGCATATTTTCGTTTGCACGCCCACACCGACGATATCTAGTTCAAATTTTTACGCGCCAAATTAATGCCGTGCGAGACGTAACGCCATATAATTGAAATATTCCGTTGCGTTTTAATTAAAGATTAAATCGCGGCGGGGCTAAATGTGGGATTAAATATAGCGCGGACGCGCGCCGGCTGATGACCGTACGATTAATTCATCTCTCGGAGCTCTCACAGGCTGAAGCCCGGGGGCGAAAGCTCGAGAGCCTCCTTGAGGTTCGATCCCGATCAGCTGTTTCCTTTGTCGCGAAGTAACGCCGAATTCACTTGCGGCCCGAGTGCACTTACGCTTGAAAATCTCTCGGTAGACGGATGAAAAATCTATTCCCAGCACGACGTCACGGTCACTCCTGGACGCAATGGAAATTCGCTTCCACGATCGATCTCAAAGCCGCACACGCACACGCTTGGTTACACTGATTTTAACGAGGCCGCACAACGAGGAAAGTGTCTAATTATATAAACGAATCTCGCTGACCCATTCCCTTTTTATAGCCGATCCGCGCATTCGCGAAGATAATTACGAATGTTGTAAGTGACTACAACAAACATCCAGAGTCTAAAAATAGCGACGCAATCGATCTCAAGCCATGTTATACCGTGTGGTCAATCGTTATCGAACATCAATAGTCACTGTAATCCGTGTTATATTGTCTTTGCATGACAATGACGTACTAATATCGTAAATGGGGCTCGACGTACCTTATCAATTAGCACCTGTCTAGATTTATCAGGACGGAATAATCCGCGTTTCGTTTCAAACGCGCTAAACAATACGGATTTATGTCGCAGCAGTCGCAGTTGTACGTTGCAAAACAATTGCGAACTGCGCTCTTGTTTAGACATACTCTTTTTTGGCTCGTCTTGAACACCCGCATAAAATACCGCATAAAACGTCACAAAAAATTTCTTAAGATCTAATTTGTAGTTTTAAAGGTTCGGAAAAAATCAGGTTACTTTTCAATTTTTTCACGGTTTTTTCAGTTTCTTTTCACAGATGAATAAAAAAAATTGAAAAAAAAAAACTGATTTTTCAATTTTTCTACAGATTTTTTCGGTTTCTTTCCGAAAAGAAATGGGAAAAAGCGATAGTCAAATGACCTATTTTGGGATAACTTTAGTTATCTTACGCTGTACGTGGAAAAATCTAGGAAAATTTCTATGCAGGTAACTGTTTAATGTTAGTCTAAAACGTGTTTTAAACATACGCAATACAATTGTGAAAGGAATGATTTCTATGTTATTTTCTGCGTGGATCTCGTTGAATATTCAGCGATTAAATTTGTAACTTCGTGTCGCATTGTGCGACGAAATAACATGTCGTTCGACCGACTCAACGCACGCATGTATGCGCATCGCCGGATAATAAAGTAAACCGGCGAATATGGTGGGTATTCTTCGAGAAATACGTTCGAGATTGATTTCACTTTCCTGGATAATTTATTTAGTCTGTATCATTCGTCACAGAATACAGATGCTAATCGCAACCATCCATCAAGGATTTCATTTTTAGATTTCGGCGATCGGACGTAACCTTCGAGCGAATCGAGGTCTTGGTCCTGTTATATTCATTGACAAAAATAAGTAATCGCATTATTGAATTTGCATTATTTAATCGAACCATGTTTCCTTCCGTAATTAGTTCCGTTTTATGTTTCGCTTTAAATTTTAAATCTTACTAAACTGACAGCGCGTCCTACGACCAGAATTCGCTTGATTTAATTATGCATTCAAAATGCGAAGCAATGTTAATATTTTACTTTCTACGCTAATATATTTATTCCATCTGCCGCGCGGGAAATCTCAGTCGCTTGAATATTGACTAACAGCCTTCGGAAATGTGATTTATTACGGTAGTACATCGTTCTTCTTGCAACGCGCTTCGTTTTATTCTACCTTGGAATGCAATAAGCTGCGTATTGTCGCGAATATAGGATACATAAACCGGCAAGTTAAGGTCGGGACCGCTGAAAAGTCGTGCGACTTTTAAAACTTTCCAGAGACATTTGACTCAATCTAACTTGACGCTAAAAACCAGACAGTCTCGCGAAGATCGCATCAGGTCCTGGCAAATATGCAGAAAGAGAGAGAGAGAGAGAGGAAGACGGATACTTACGTACATACAGTTGATTACATAGGCCGAATCGAGGCAGGCAAATATAGCTATTACATGACAGAGAGAGAGAGAGAGAGAGAGGCTGGGTATATTGGATGAGCGTTGAATGGTATTACTTGTTCCAACGTATATCAATGCGAGATCTTACGCCGTTATCAATGACGTATTTATTATCAACGCCGCGCAAACACAATGGCGAGCTAGAGAGCAAAAGGCGGCGCGCTTTAAGTGAAAATAGTTTATTACTATGGAGATTTTCTCCCGCGCGCATAACGCACGTGTACACAAACGACTCTCCAGGGCTACAAAGAGTCCATAAATTCTCCACCTAGCGCACGTGGATTGAAAACCTTGAAAAGTCTTCCGCTGTGTGGTGACCTGAACCTTAGGAAAAGGACAATCGCATGTGAGAAAAAATTCACTGGTCTTTTTTTTCTTATAAAATTAACCTTTTATTCTGTGACGTGATAATTTAACTTTCCTATTTCTTATAGCTCCGTTACGCTACGCGAGTGGAGAGAGAGATTTTATGGATACCTAGTCTACGTAAGTAGGTACATAACGATGGAAGTTTGGTGGATCTGACTAGACTTAACTATATATATTATATATAGATTGGTCCTTTGAGGTAATGGGTTCAAAACGCTCTCGGAAGTACCTAATAACTATTCGAGAAAATTTTTATCATAAGATATATAAATATAAATAAATAAATAAATATATATATATATATATATATATATTTTATATATATTTAATTATTTATTTATTTTTATTTATTTATTTATATGTATACGAGTGTTCATAAATAAATAAATAAATAAATGAATCATTATACAATAACGCCATAAACAAAGTAATTTGACTTACATAAGTCGTTCCTTTACGGGTCTTCTTAAATTTATCCGGCAATTACATTGTGTCAATTATAGCGGTGCGTCTATAGTAACAAGCGTAATAATTAATATTTTATTGACACTTTAAATCCAGCGTTTATTGCCGAATCGACAGGTAGCGATTTTTTTCTTTTTTCTATACGACTTGATTTCATACACATACACACACTTTTTGGACCCTCGATAGCGTCTCTTTATAACTGGTAATATTGATACTTTAATTTTTCTTTTAACCCAAGAATAGTCCACAAATATGTTTTCTTTAACGCAACTTTACGATGAACAGAATTCATTAGAAACGACATGTATGCCCAGCAATTACACGGCGTCTAGCTGTATTTAAATACTACCTGCTCTCTACGATTGGTCCTGCCGGCTATGATGAACGATAATCTCGAAAAGTACTTCGAGCTAAATACTCAGTGTCGGCATCTCGACAGATGATTGAGAAACTTACGACTATTGTCTCGCCGTCATAAATGATATTCTAATATGCGACGTCAAGTTTGGAACTTGATCGTCTTTTCGACATCTTTCCAACCGGCATGATATAAAAATCAGGTACACATAAGAAGAATCCTCCCTATCAACGGTCTCATGTTTTCCAGCTTAGACGAAGGACAATGGGTATGACAGACACCGTCGTTTATCTTCAAACAATTCCGTAGTTTTATCCGGCAATTTCTCTCTCATGTGACATAAAATCGGCAGCATTATATCTTGTCCAAGCCTTTAACTAACTTCTATAATGATCTTCATCGTCCGACGTGTTACGTGACAGAAATAACTCGAAGTAGATGACCCGAAATCGTCTGTAAGTTCTGAATTTCGCCTCGTCAGAAACAAGAGTCCACTCGTTTGGAAAGTTTCTGCTCGCCATTTCTGCGCTTTCTGTTTCTCGATATACGTTACACGTAAAATGGTGCCAAAAGGCCTCACCTGCTATGTGTGAGAATAATATCTGTGGTCTAAGATACGTCGGATTAATTTATCGCAAAGAATTATAGCGTCTCTTTACGTCATTCCACGTATCGTTTGCTGTACACTACGAAACGAACACGCGACGTTAATCGTAAAATTAAATAAATCAAAGTAACAAATACATCGATTCCGAATCAATTTAAGTACGATTAGACTAGACAAAGGTGAGAAACATCGAAAGCACAAATATGATTAACATTTGTACTCTTAGATCCGTACGAGGTATGTTCGATACACTCAGAGAAAGAATTAACCATAGGAACAAAAATCTAGTTATGACAGCTAAAATGTGTCTTTGAAATAGCGACAACTAATGTCGTAAGGAGATTATAAAGTGAAGTGAATTTGATAAGAATTCAATAAAACTTGCACGCATACATTAGAATATTATCTAATTGCTCGTGCAATTAAAAAAGGATTGAAAACTGAGATATTTGCAACTAAAGTTGACACTTATTATGTGTATTCTTTGAGGTTAGCGTGCTATTTTTAATTTCTATTTTTAATATCTTCTAAAGTGAAAACAAAATTTTGATAAAAAACTATTATAATATTAAATACTAATATGCAAATATTATATACAAATTTCACAGTCGTTGGCCGTTTTGTCTTGAAAATACAGCTGTATAAAGTTCATCGTTTATAGTAATATTCAAAATACATATATACATGTATATATTTAAATAATTACATATCTCTTCCTATCATCTCTATTAGATCAACTGACGCATAAATATAGCATTAATAAAACAAAACAATATTTTCTTATTTGTAATATTGTGTATATATATTTACCTCAACTTTGTGTCTCAAATTAACATTTATTGTTTAGATAGTGAAGTAAATGTAGAGAAACGTAATTTTATTCGATAAATATTAAATTTATAAGTGGTCAACTTGATGATACTGAAGAGACGACACTGAGCCTTACAACTTCGTTAAGGTGTTAAGCGTATACTCGAAATAGTATACTACCGATATACTACTGATTTTACATGAAAATCAGCCATTTACTCGATTTAGTGCTATATCGTATCTAGAAAATACTCTTAAGTACTGATGGACTTAAATCTGCGACCTCTGGATCGTCAGTCAATCACCTTAGGTACTACACCACTTCACCAATTGATACAAACGTGTTTCGTATTGCTTGTATATAGTATAATATAACCAAGAGAGAAAGAGAGAGCACAGTTAACCAATTTTAGCTCTATTCACGCTAATAATGTCAACCAATAAAGTTGTACTTCGCAGCAAATGCATTTTACCTCTAATAGCCAATTTTCAGCAATGACAGTACAGTTCGACCTGGCTAATGAGATTCAGCTGTTACCAATAAGTCATTTCTCTAAGTGTATCTACCACGTGTACTCAACACGTGAGTTAATTAATGAGACGAAGGGATCGGGCACGTTCAAACTCGATCAATTGTCGCGCATAATATAAAAACCCTCTTTCGGACTCTCTCTTTTCCAATACCGGCGACGACGTGGAACGATGCGTACAAGAGCGGCAGGCAGATCGATCCGCGGATGCACATGAACGCTAAACGCTTAATAGGACGAGTAAAAAGTTGGCCTTGACATTGCTTTGACAATATAGATGTAGTTGTGCACAGCTCCACGTACAGCGAGCGCAACGTAGGTCTCCGCTCGGAAAGAGGAGTACATTCATCCTCGTAGCACAATTTCTACTATGAGCGGCGACTAAGAGTGCGCACAATTCAGCCAGCAAGCCGGAAACTGTCGCGAACAAGTTCTCTCATCCCTCGTCGCTGACGCTCTCATCCGGCTGATCGTCTTCGTCGTCTTCGACCGAAGCCGATCATCCGGGCGGCGTCTTCTTCTGCTTGGTAAGCTCCAGCAGCACCGGATAGTGCAGATCCGGGCAGTACTCCGAATTGTTCTGCAGCAGCTGCAGATGCCTCGACCAAACCGTGTCGTCGTATCGTTCCGTCTGCCGCGCTATGAAGCCGCGTTTGATGGATGCTTCGGCGAACTTCTGGAATGTCGTGCCGCGTCTGGGCGCCATCACCAGAGCGATCCCGTCGTCGGCCAGCCAACCGTAGATGGTCTCCACCAGGTCCAATCGCGCGTCGTCGAAGAAGAGGCAATCGGCGCTGAGGATCACGTCGTAGAGGCTCGACGGCAGTCGTATGTCTTCGTCGCCGTCAGCCGTCCGGGTCTACATAGAGAAATCACAATCGAGAGAGTCCAGATTTCAGTTCGATCATCAGGAACAGGATCGAACTGGTTCGGGAATTTCGATTCAAATCAAGTGATGAATCGTTAAAAATGAAAAGTCTGCATAACATGCTTCATCGTGGAAAAGTAATTCGCCACAGAAGACGTTTGTCAGTTTCTCGTATAAAATATGATTCGAAGGACACGATTATTAATTAAAGAGGTATGTATAAGAGATGTGCGAATCAACCATGAGAATCAAGCATTCGTATGGTCAAATTGAATCGAATCTTGAATAATACGTTCGAAATCGAATCGAATCAAATACGAAATTGCCAAATAGAATCCAATTGAATCGAATCTCTTTAATTAGAATGCGAATTGAATCAGATTTTCAGGGATTTACATTATATGTTAATCTGATTATATAATAACATATTTCCTCAATGATATTAAAAATTGATTTTTAAATGGACGAAGAAATGAATTATTGCATAGCTTTGAGAAAACATCTCACTAACTACAAGAAAAATGTTACGCTGAGTATTAGAAATTTTATAATACACATCAGATAAAAGTGTGCAGAGTTTATGGTTAAATTAAATTGATAATCATATACGCATATATATAATCATATTTTATAAACTAGTAAGTGCATTCACGTATGTCTGAAAAAATTGAACTAAAAATGTGTTTTAGTTGTTATTTCATTTCCACAATTCACTTTTCAAAACCATATCAAATTATTGAGCAATAAAGCACTCTTGTATATATAATTTTGTTAACAATAAAACAATGACTTTGAGCAGCTAGTTTTTAATTTCAATGACTTTTTCGTTTATCATTTTCCGATATAAATGATACAATCGAAAGACGTAACCGATTCTAAATTGACCTATTGATGTGAAATTATTGAACTATTCGAATTCGAATTTTGGATTCGCAAACGAATTTACAAGTTGATTCGATTCGATTCAAATTTGAACAATTTGCACGCTTCTAATATGAATCGATCGTATCCGTAATGCAATTTGCGGTTTAGACTGACGCTAATAAAACGACCATCGTGCCTTCATTTCAGTTATTATTTATATATGGCACGCGTCAAATCGCACATGATCTCCAATGAGCGAATGAGAAAACGATTAGAGTGGCTGGATCGTAAATGTCGGATACGTAGGAAACGACGTTCAATCATTCAACGTCGAACTTTTCAGACAAATACGACGGGAGTTTTCGTGTAAATAAACGAGGAGACGAATGTCCGTTTTTGTTGATGAATCTCGGTCGATCGCGATAAATTCTCAATTTCAGCGATGACACGGTCTTGATCGGTGCCGACGAGCGAGAATTTCCCACGAAAAAGACACCAATTGCGCGGAACGTTGAGAGCGACCGGAAGAACACAGAGGCTACATTATGAAGGCTACAGGAAATGGAGCTGAGGTTTAGCCGGAAGCGTCCGAATAGCGCGTCTATGTATTTGGGGCGAGCATCACAATGATCACACGGAGATTCCGCACTTCCGTATGGGTGGTCTCTCCAAATATGTCCATACCGAGAAACGTATATGAAACGTAACCTTTTCTATCCATATGTTCTATGATCTTTTCCGCGAACGATAAAAAGAATAGGAAATTTAGTGATATCTAGCAGCAGGACGTGTCAAATATGTTAGTCAATTATATTGGCGCGCATTGTGAAGAAAGTTTGTTATTATTACTAATATATATAGTGCACAGCATTAATCAATTAAATATATTTTTTGATGTCAATTTATGATACCTTTTTTATTTATATAAACGTGAAATTAGATTTTTTGCTCAAAAGTCTCGTAAGATCTAGAAGCAACTCGGACATAGCGTAATTTTTCATCGGCATATTTTCTAGTGTATTTTCTCGGTAGTCCGTGACAACTATGTCATGATATCATGACATCTCGACAGAGCGCGTCTTCTGTACGTGACCCCATAACGTAGTACGTGTTTCGCAACAGCAAGCTTCCGCGACGAATGCTTTGCGGATACAGAACGCTTGATGCATTGATATTTTTTGGTGAAATAATCGTACGTATAAATCGTACACACAGAAAAATATCATTCTGCTGTTAAGAAAAGCGATTACTTAGTTTATTTTCCTGCTTTTGAATAATGGTTATCTTCAATGAAGAATACTTTTTTTGATAATAATCTTAAAATATGCTCATCACAAATTTTTGAAAAGCTCCAGAGACAGCACAAATACATACTGCATACAAGTAAAAGTTACTTGATTCAAATAAAATGGTTACTTTGCCAATACTATTTGGCAAATATTTATTAGAAATAGAAATATAATTGACTACGTACAATATGATATTTTCCTTCATACAAGCAGACATTTATTATAACGTTAAAACAATTGCCCAACAAATATCAAATTCATAATATTGAGAATATCAGAATTAATTTTTAGCAAATATTTACTGGGCAGAAAAACCTAAATTTAAAATCTCTAAGTTTCTTCAATGGAAAAAAAGTATTATATAATTCTAATAAATACTTTCTTAAATTTAGAACCATTTTATACTTACATTCAGCGATTCATTTGCAAATTAAGATATTACTGTATTCAAGTAAGTATTTACATTACAAGCTATTAAAATATATTTAAATTGATAAAAATATTATTTCATTTAAGAGCCCGGAAAATAGATAATTATATTTATTTGATTCTAGTGCTTTTTTCTGTGTATATTTGCGAATATATTTATAAAATACTTGAAACAAATAACATTTACTTGTATGCAGTATGTATTTTTCTGTGTGTAAATCAATAAATTCCTCGTACACAGTCATTTCATCAAATTTTCCGAATTTCTCCTGTGTCCTCAAATTGACAAAAACTTTCGCACGGTAAGTTCCTTGAAAACAGTCACTTCACCGTCGGATTTCGTGATGACTACACGGACTCGTAATTGCGCGATCGCGGATCGCCGTTTCCCATCGATCCTCCATCTATTCTATGATCGCAATTCCCGGCTGCATTACGTTTCCTCGGTAAAGCCTTAATTTTTCCATTCATCGACTCGCAATGACCGCGATGACTCATTGATCGTGGCGATGTGCAGCGCGCTCGTCGTGCAACCGCGAAGCCGGGCGTGTCGATGTCCGATGATCCGACGACTAGGTTAGCGGGCTCTCGTCATCGTCCTCGTCGCCGATGCAGATCACGTCGGCATCGAAGTCGGACTTTACGAGAGACGCATTATTCGACAGCGGGGTCGGCGACCAGGCTGAATTCTGTGCCGCGATTAACGAAGTACGAAGTTGACCCTTCAATTCCCAATGTCACCGACAGATCCTTGGAATTCATACAAATACAGACGTTGGAAATTTTTCGCAAAGCCGCACCAAATTCCCAGGATCCACGAATGCCATTGAAAATTGGAGAACAGAGTGCGTGTTTCGTATAAAAAAAGGAAGACAGATCCTCCATTATCGTGCGAATTTACGAAATAATTCATTTTTCTACTTTTAATTAATGATAAGACGGATCTTTATGCAATGTAGGGACCGGCGCCACATGAGAGAAAAAAATGCTTTTTTCACTAACATATTCAATATTTAATTTTCGGCCTTTGTGGCTGCGCTTCGTCGTTGGAGCATCCCTGTCACGCCGCAATATTACTCTGACAATATTGCTTTGAGGATATACTTCTTTCATATATATATTTTATTATGCATTCTGCGCGAAAATTTGGCAAAATATGGCTTCTCAAAAAACGAGCGAAGATGCGAAGATGCGTCCAATATTGTACAGAGACAAAAGAAGATATAATTTCTTAATACATATTAATGGTGCAATTTGAAAATAAACGATTAATGCCGTCGTTAATTAAAAGCTCAACTGAAAAGAAAGCTTCAGAGATTCACAAGGTCTCAGACAGAAATAATGAAAGAAACAAGAAACATTATTAATTAAATATAAACAGAGAACAGAGAATTCAATTTCGAAATATGGACAATCATGTTTCAGTACACAATAAAAGAATAGAGAACTAAGATAAAGAACATCGTCGAAGTTCTATTCCTTACAACTTATGTGCTTATAGGCCTTAGCAGTTAACTGAAAATTAATCTTTAAAATGTTCATTGACCATCAACATACAAATGAAACTTAGTGTAAATTAATTTTTGATAATTATCAAGAAAATGAAAAAGTATTAATAACGATCTTAAAGTTTTCATTTTAGTGTGTCTTTTTATACCGATATTTATTTGCAGTCGAAAAAGTATGGCCAAGTATAAATTATATGGTCTGTTTTTTAGCTGAACTGGCTACACTAGTTCAAGAAATTTACGCACACTGAAACGTGAGAATCGCGTAAGTACGTTTCATGTGCATCAATGTGAACGTAAATTTCTTGAATTAGCGCAGCCAGTTTAGCTAAAAAGAACAGACCAATAAGTTCTCTCAGTTTGCTCGAGTCAGAGAGCGCGACAACTTGATATGGAGCGCGAGCCGCAAAATATTAATATTTTATTCTTAATTCCTTGTAACATTTAATTCTTTGTTCCTAATTTCTTTCATCGTGCCTGAACCTTAACGACACAACATTCGATCGAGCCCGTTTGCTCGACATCAAATCTCAAGACTCACAACGCGGTCCCATTAATTCCCGCCCGTTAACCGACGCCTCGGTGCATTGTTTTGGCAGTTTCTAATATCCTTCGAGATAATAGCCCCGAGCGTAATTTCGGTCTATCGACCTCTTGTGCTTTTCCGGTATCAAGTTTAAGCATTCACCTTAACGCGATTACCATTGACCGCCGCCTGCCTGAGCGCCCTGGCGGCCCGAGCCCACTGCACGACGCCGCACTCCACCAGGTTCGTCATGTCGTTCCTGGCGACGATGCAGCGCACGTTGTCCACGCTGGTCACGTTGCCGTCCGTGAGCGTGACGGCGCTGGGACTGCAATACTTGGCCGCGAGGACGCCGGCCAAGCAGCTCATGCCGCCGCCGAGTTCAAGGACGCTCCGGTTCCGGCAAAGGCCGCGGTTCCTCAGCAAATAGTAGGCCAGGCACTCCTCGGACGGCCAGACGCACACGTTGCCGGTGTTGTTGAAGCCGATCAGCTCGCTCGCCGTGAAGCACTTGCTCACCCGGCGAATCTGCACGTCATATGGCCGAGCGTCCTCCAACTCGGCCGAGTACTCACACCAGCTGGACTCGCCGTCCGCTAGTGTGTTCTCCAGCAAAGTGCATTTGAGCAGGCCGAAGCTGGTGAACCGTCGCACCGACACCTCCTCCTCGGAGTCGCTGCCGGTCGGCGAGCCGGTCAGCGCCCGAGCCAGGATGCGCCAACGGCGCTGAGCGCGGCTGTTCCTCTTCGACACGCGGGCACCGTTCATCGTCGCTGTCTCCCGACGCGACAAGATCTCCTGCGACGTGCCGCGATCGGCCACATTGATCGAGCTGCTCGGTAACGGGCGTATTTTTCCGGCTTCCCCTCGACGCGGAATGCTGAATTCTCACAATGCCGCGTTTGGTAATGGTTCACGTGAATTATTCTCCGCTTGGGAGTTCCATCCTTCGGCTTCGGGACTCTCTCGGGATACAGACAACGGTATCAGTCCAGAGAACAGTTCGCGTGTCGCAGAGTTAGAGTCGAGCCTTCGCTGTCTTCGCGGGGGACGAGCTCTCACTTCGACGTCGCGGAGTCGCGTTGCTGCGAATCCGCGGAAGGCACGTGGAGGCGACACGTGGTCCTCTTCATCGCGGTGCTCTTTGCGTTCGCTGGTGAACGGTGCGCCAGTTCGATCGGCGGCTCGTGCAGGCTCCTCCTCGCGTCCTTCTTCCTGAGACCGGTCGGGACTCCGGAAGCATACTTTTCTTCTATCAGCCGGCTTCAACGGGATACTGGTTTCGCAGAGTCCCGTCGTAGGGGCTGCTTTCTGTCTGTCTACCTCTCTCTCTCTCTCTCTCTCTCTATCTCTTGCCCGGCAAGGACGAGGATGGACGAAGGGACGGGCCAAGACTAAAAGCACCAAGTCAAGTTCTAACTCGTGCCACGCGGACGTCGAGCGTTCTCCACGTTAGGCCGGCGCCTGCGCGGCTCTTTTCGCTCCCTCTTCCTCCGTTTACCTTCTGCACACCGTCTGTCCGTCCGCCCGTCCTCCTCTCCTCTCGCGGGTGTTCCCCGACGAGTCCCTCGTGCGTATCTGTCGCGCTTTCGTAAAAATCTTCTGGCACGCTGTCGCTCGGAACGCGAGCCACGCGCACGGCTCCTTCGGTCCAAATTAGCCGCAGCTTTCCCGATCCGAAGCTGCTCAATGGCGAGTCGGCCGGCTCGGGACCGCAATGCGCGTTGAATCGCCCCGGCGAGCGGCGTGCACCGAGTACGCACTCGTTAGAAGCTTCTCGGGGAAGTGGTACGATGGATGGTGGCATTAGCCGGCTCGAGGATTTATCGTTCAAACGCACGGACTATCGTAGAAATAACGCGAAACGTTATCGCTCATGTATTTCGTTAATTATGTATGTAAGAAGAATTATCAGTTCAGTTTCGTGTGCAAAACAACTCGTCGCTCACGATTTTATCGGTGACAGATAAGTTGAGAGAGATCGTGCATCAAGAAATGAGTTTCGTTGGATCTACCTGACAAAGACAATCAAACATGTTTTTATTCTAGTTCTCACGAATCCAAATTTGGTTCTTACAACCAAAAATTCTATTTCCTTCAACCAAAATGCGTTTTGTTGTCCATTGTCCAGGTAAATCCAATCAAACTTATTTTTCAATGTAGATATTATCGTGTGTAATTCAAGAATGCGCGTTAAATCAGCGATAAAAATGTAGGAGACGACACAGCTTGCTATGATTAAGCATTCATCGTGTACAAAAGTTTTTAGTCACTGAGTCTCATCATGAGAGTCATCGTAAATAAAAGTTTTTAGTCATTGAGTCCCACAGAAACTCAATGTATCAAATTAAGTAGCAAAAAATAAGTGTGCCAACAAAGTGTCAAGAAACTTGTATCTTTAAGTGTCTCTTAGTCCTTATTTTTAAAACAGATAATTCTGTATTATTATTATTATATTTAAGGTAGATAAAATTTAAAAGTAATCGTCTAAAATTCTCTACAGAGGGGAAGTCTTTCAGAGCTCAGACACAATAAAAGGAATAAGGAACAAAGAAATAAATATAAAGAATTAGAAACAAGGAATGTACTGAATATATAAAAATGCGAATTAAATTTCGACATATGGCCAACCATATTTTAAATAATAAAAACATAGAGAAGTAAAATTAGGAAAACTGTCGAAATTCTATTCTTTACAACTTGTGTGTTCACAGAACTTATTAATTGACTGAAAGTTAACCTTCAAAAAAAATATCTAATGATTACTAATATATAAATGCAAATTAGTTTGAATTGATTGATAATTATCAAGAAAATTATAAAAGTGTTAATGATCACAATAAAGATCCTTTAGAAAATAGTAAAAGTGATGATCTCGTTTTAAAACGTTCTTATATCATATTTTCTATTCCTTTTATTTCAAATTATACTTTTAGTTAGTTATTATTCTACTCCTTTTATTTCAAATTATACTTATTCCTAATATCTTATTCTCTTAATTTCCTACGTTTAATTCCTTATTTTTCTCATTGTGTACTCTGATATCCTTATATCTTTTACTATCATATTGTATCAAATCATTATTATTATTACAGCGTGAGAGTATTAATGTCATTTTCAGCTTTGATTGGCGCATGTTCAATGCCATAATTATTTCTCGCCGTCGGCTATCGCGTCGTCGTCCTAAGTATTATTTCTTATTTTTACGGTTCCGTCTCTCTCTCTCTCTCTCTCTCTCTCTCTCTCTCTCGTCTCGTTCAGGCGGGTCGGTCTACCAAAACTTACAAATGCCACGATTCCTCGATGACAGAAGTCTGAGCGTTCGACAGGTGTCCCAGTTACGAAGTTTTAATGATGCATGAGAGCCTCCTCTGCCTATTGCTAACAAACGTGCATGACGGAACGGCGTTTCTTTCTCGTCAAACTTTCTTTGAAAACTCGTAATTGGCTTTACAGCCCGCGGCTTTCATAAGCACGTCCGTCGATACGTTCATATCGTTTTCACTTCTTTCGTCTATCCCTGATCTTTTCAGGATCAACGAATAATAACGATTCGAGATACGAAACATCACGTTCGCTTTTCGGCTTGAAAGAAAGGAAAAAAATGAGACACCGGCTGTTCGGTTATAACGGAGGTAAGAAAAAAAAGAAATGATATTAACCATCGTTATTTACGGGTGACTTGTCCGAGCGTGTCATAAGCTCGATTTCAACATCGCTACTGAAGATTCAAACTAGATCCGTGTGCCAAAAAGCGTAGACATTAAACTGTCACTAAACTAATATTTAAATTTTGGCCGAGGTTTCCGGATGACTGCCCAAAAGACGTACATCACTAATCGCTCTTTGTTCATTTATACGATGTTGCTTCTTTGTTACGCATAATCTCGATTACAAGCCTCGGTCAAGTGTAAAACAATATTATCTAGTTCTGGTAGTATTATAGTATGCGTTATTTTCATCGTCAACGTGATTCTTGCAGCGCATAATGTTAAGCGCATAATGTTAATGAATAACAAGTTACGATAATGAAATTTTTATTTACATTCGCACTCTTAATGAGATAGAATAATTGTTAATTTCATCCATCGTATTTAATTTCATCGAATTTCGGCATACGATTCGTTTCGGCTGTACCATATAATGCAGATTTTATTCAGATATCATTTACCGCCGATGTGTATAATTTATATTAAATGAACGTTATGTTGACTGAAAGATTCCTAATTTAGACTATTCTCATGCTATTATTCTGTCGAAAGCAAGATTGAAAACATTATGTATTAATTAGCATAGGAAGTTTAATACAAGAAAGGAAGAGTCCTAATTTATATTATAAAACATAAATATAGTACACGAACATGAATTATGATTATTCGATCGTAATATTGTTTAAGTACTGATACAAAAAATATCAGCGTATCAGCAAATTATTAAATTCATTACTTGCACAGGTATATCTTTATATACGGGATCGTAAGTGTTATATACGTTGATACGTAAGTGTTAAAATATTGTCTAGTGTAAAATTGGCAAGCCGTAAGGAAAACCTAATAATTTTCCGTTCTGTGACAAAATTTCAAAATGAATAAAATTATGACAATCTGAACAAATAAATATAGCAACGAGTATAATGTGTGAGAAAAAAAAGGAATGTATATCTATGAGACAAAATACTAATAAAAGTAAATGAATTTATTCAAGCCAAAATCAATAACGGGGATACTAAAAGTCGCGTGAAATTGCGAATTCCAATTGCTCCTAACATAAGAAAGGAAATACGTGTCATACGAGATTACCAGGAAGGAGAAAAATTGCGCCTTCGTCACGGATAAGTTACGTGCAATCAGCAGTTACAATTTCCGTCTTACACGAGCCTTACTAATACGGGCGAAATTCAATTTCCTTGGGAACATATCCTTGTGCGAGGATAAGCCTCGAAAATCGGTTACCTTTGCTTCTTGAAACCAGGATATAACTTGTGTATGTGTACCGTATTCGAGCATTATTTTCCATTCATAAGGCTATCATACGGTGTACTATCTTATAAGTAATGAAAAATAATTATTAATAATAATCGCTTGTCCGCCTTCGCGCCGGGATTAATGCACGGAGTAGTATTCGCCAGATAGATGATACCGAAAAAAGCACCGAAAGTATTCTTACGGTTCCTCACATCCTCATCATATTATCGCAGATGGCTCGGGTTTCTGGTTCCATTAGCGATTTATCCGACGAGGCACGTGTCAAAACGCTACCACTGCTTCCCCTATTCGATCCATGTCCATTAAGCTCTCATCCCCGCATACGGCAGTCAACTTTTTAATTATTTGCGAGGTTCTCTCTCTCTCTCTTTCTCTTCCTCTCTGGGAGTCGCGCGACGCTATATTTATACATCGTGGAGAAATCAGTCTGACGTTTCCTGTCGCGACGTGTCCAATCAGTTTCGTCGTAATTATAGCGAAATCGAATTTTTCGCGGTCATTGACACCGCTGTCTCGAATGGGTTCGCTCGTGGGAACACTGCGGAGTGATTGCATAGTTTCAATATTTAATTCTAATTTGGTACTCATGAATTATAGTAACCCAAGCGAAAAATTAAGATTTTGTAGTTATTAAATCGAGAATTATTGTACGTAAGAAAATAGAATTCTTTTCTTAAGGGATGTACAATTTTTTATTTATTTCTTTTTATTTTCTACATAAAATCAATACATTGTCTTTTTTATATCTTAAATCGTTTATTTTTAAAATAATAATTACAAATTTTTCAAATTTACCTTTTGTATACTCAAAATTACAATATCTGTACACTGTATATATATAGTATATATATTCAGTGTATAGATTTATATAATATCTGTACACTGTATATAATATAATAAGTACTGTATATAATATCTGATTATTATATATTATCTGTACAATAAGCACATTTATCTAAGATATCTAAATAAGCATCAGAAAAGTTTCTAGATCTCACACACCCAATGTGCCAAACTAAGTAACAAAAAATAAGTGTGTCAACGAAATTTTAGAAAACTTGTACGATAAAATTTAAAAGTAAAAATTTTTAATTTTTTACAGAGGAGAAAGTCTCTTATATCTCTTATTTTAGAAATTATGGAGAAAGAGGGGGAGGAAGAAAAAGAGAGAGAGAGAGAGAGAGAGAGAGAGAGAGAGAGAGAGAGAGAGAGAGGGGGGGGGAGGAGGAGAGGGAAAGAATAATTAAAAAATAAATAAATGAAAATCAATAGAAAAGGAAAGAGAATAAAAGGTCTGCAAAGGATTCATAAGCAAGAGCAATTCCAAGTACATATGTTACCGCGAATGTTCGTATCTTTAAATACATTCCGGGAATACACACAGGTTCTCCGGGAGACACGATAATCGTGAATTTGAGTTCGAAACATATAATCCTCATACACTCCCGAGTGTAAATTCAATTTCGCTGAAGCGCAAGATAGTGCCGCTGATCTCTTCGGGGAGCGGGAGCGCTCGCGTTTCCGCATGTATCAACCGCCGGCGCTTATGCAATTGTACTGAGGTTGCGTACCAGCACGTACGTA